ATATGTTAATATGTGACATCTCTCATTGTCACTTTTGATGTTTTCACTTATATTGTCATAATATTAAAAATTTGGTACATATTCTTACATTGCTCTCCAAAAAGGTTATGCTCTTTTTATTTCATTTGACTTATACTGTATGAGATCCTTGTTTCCCATATTTTCTGAAGTGACAAGTTTTAGACCTATGTATCCTAGCTTTCTGTCTTTATTGGCAGCTTGAGGAATTGGACCTGATGTATAGTTCTGGCACTTTTAATCTTCATTTTATTCACTGCCTATCATATCTTAACCACAATCTCCTTAATTTTGTTACTCCAAATAGTGTTCTGACTGTATTAAAGGGTAGTACTTGGAAAATTTTCTCGTGACTCCATTTCTTTCAGAATCAGTGGACCAAATCTCTCATGTTTAGTCTAGAGGGGACCTTATTTTCAGGGGGATGCCTTATATTTCACTCAGAAGGAAACCTGTAAATAGGTCTTATTTTCGGAGGATGCCTTATTTTTGGGGAAACATGGTAATATCTCTTGCCTCCTGCGAGGCTGCTCTTTACATTCCTCTTAGCCTCTATCTACCATTCCATTACCCCCACCTCCCACATGCTGACTATGTGCTTTCATAAATAGCTAGGATCTTTGAATAACTTAACTTCTATAGAAGCTTAAAGGTAACATCCTTTTCTTCAAAGCACTTCCATATTATTATTTGATCCTCACAAAAACTCTTTCAGGTATGTAGGTTAGTACATTATCCTGATTTTACCAGTGAAGAGATAGAGACAGTAATTAAGTGATTTGCTCATCCTCAGGCACTTAGTTAATATGAAACTGGTATTAGAACACATTTTGTTTTTGTTGGTGATTTCATTCATTCTTTTCATCCTTTTTTCCATTCATTTATATACTCTGTGGAGGTCTGGTGCATGAAATTCATGCACGGGTAGGGTCCCTATGCCTGGCTGGTGATCAGGATTGATCAGGGTCGCCCCCCCCCCCCACCTCCTCCTTTATTTGCTGCCAGCGTATCACCACCATGTGGTCCCCCCGCCTCCCTGCCTCCCTGCCTCTCCTCCCCCCATCTCCCTACCTCCTCCTTCCCTTGCTCCTTTAGCACCCACTGCTACCATTGGCTGCCTGCCGTATTCCTCAATATCCCCTGGTGATCAGCACACATCATAGCAAGCAACTGAACTGCTCTCAAGGGGACACTTTGCATATTATCCTTTTATATATATAGATATTGAGGGGCAGCAAAATGGAAAGAACAAGAGTTTTGGAGACAGACAAACTTTGGTTTGAAACTTGATGACATTTCTTATTAGCTGGGTGAACTTGGTAATATACTTACCCTCTCAAAAGTTTTTTCTTATTTGTAATGTAAGGAAAAATTATGACTTACAATGTTTGTATGTGATTTAACACTACATGAAAATTACCTACCAATAATAGTATCTGAATATGGTAGTCTATAGGTAAAATGTTATTGTCAATATATAATATGTAAAATAGGTTATTATAGTTTGAAAATGGTAAAATATTAACAATTTTATAATGGTAGAAACTCAGTGGCTACTATTTGTTGAGTCCTTACCTATTGTATATGAGACCCAGCTATACCCCTAAAATACAAATAGAAATGAGACAAGGTCTTCTTTGTGTTTCTGCATCTTCTACTAGGCTATGGCTGTGGAGGGTAGAACCTGTGTTAGTAGCATCCCCAACACTAACAACAATGTCTGCTTAGTGGGTATTCAATATGCTTTCTGAACTGAAAAGTTTCCTGCCCACCACGAGATCATCAACTAGTTAATTACATAGTCCTATAATTATAGTAAACTTTTATAGGTATTTATTGATAGATAGACACATATAGGCTATGGTGATAATGAAAATGAAACAATGCTCTATTCTACTGGGGGAGAATTTTTTTGCAAGAGATAGACAAGGTGATCGATGCAGGTCTCCTTGGCAGTGTGGAAGGATGCCCACAATGGCAAGACTTCCAAGGTGCTTACTACCAAGAACAGTGGAGAGGAGGGGGCAAAGCATCGTAGAGCAGGTGCGTTAAGATTAACCATGGTCTGTCAGTGGAAAGGAGCAAAACCAATTTGCTTATCTTGAACTACATGCCTTCTCTCAACGAAGCCCCTTCTAATGTGTGAAATTGAGTTTGTATTCAAAGAAGCTTCTTTGTTTGTCTCACAGTCCCTCTCTTACTGGTATCTCCCATAATGTATTGCTTTATAAAGTGCTTTGCTCTATTCTGAGTATAAAAGAGATGCTCAGGAAAACCTGATTCTATTCTTTGAGTGTCACAACTAGCCATTGCATAACAAAGTGCAATATATTGTGTGAAAAGAAGTAGAGGAACACAAGATATATTTTAAAGAGAGTAAATAAAACATCAAAACTGGAGCGTCTAGAGTGCATTAAAGTTAATGTACTGTCATGGCAGAGTGGACCACTTTTCAGTGCGAAGGAAGCTGATTTAGCGACTGGTATCTAAATGATTAGGATCTATTGCAACAAAGTTAGCTGCTAGTCTTGCCAAATTCTAAATCTTTTGGTTCTCCTTGAGAACCAGTCCTTAAAATTGAACAGATTATTATTATTATTATTATTATTATTTTGTCAATAGCTCTTTGAGATGCTAAATCCATTGGTCTTTGAATATTCAGTGCTGCTCAACTGTGGTTAGCACTGCTTTGCTATATAGAGTTGAGGAGGAGGAATTCAGGCCCTGGCTCTAATGCTTGATTGGGACCAGTTAATCAGCATAGGCTTCCAGGGCTCCTGTGGTCATTTCCTGTTTCCGCAGAGACACATAGACCAGAAAACTGTCAGGAGTCAACTTTGCTCAGGTGTGAACCACTGAGCTACTCACCTTATTTGCAAGAGATAGACAAGGCGATCAATACAGGTCTCCTTCTTGGCAGTGTGGAAGGATGCCTACAATGGCAAGAGTTCCAAGGTGCTTTCTGCCAAGAACTGGATTGGATTTTGTGCTTCTTCAGCCACAAAATGTCCCCAGCATCTTACTCCCAAATCGTTAATGCCCTTTGCAGTCAGTCTGCTCAGCCTGAACATCCTTATCTCTCTTTACTCAGCACCATCATTATTGTTTTCTTTCGGTAGCTAAACTCTCAAAGTTTATAGATCCCTAATATATTAATGTTTTTTTTTTCTTTTTCTTTTTTTTTCAAACAAGCAGGTGATATTAGGTGGCATTTTCATCCTTGATTATTCTCTCTCTCTCTCTCTCTCTCTCTCTCTCTCTCTCTCTCTCTCTCTCTCTTTAGAGAAGAATGAGAATTGCTGATTCTGGTTTTGGGTGCAGTTTGTAGAATATTTCTTTGATGTATAAAAATGCTAAGTTTATATTGGCATGCTGGCATTTATTGACCTTGGGAACATTACATAACTCTTTTAAGCTTCAGTTTCTCCATTTGAAAAATGGGGATAAAATGACTAATTTATAGAGTTTCAGTGAGGACCAAAGACACTCCATAGGAGGAAATGCCTAGCACAGTACACAGCACATAATAGAGGTACAATAAATTATTATTTAAAACAGAGCAGAACAACTGAAGCAGGGCCAGTTCTACTTAAATGAAAGGAGCTGTTGGGAAACAGTGAGGGATAGGAAAAGAAATCACAGAGCTCTATATAGAACCATGTCCTCAGCCTTGTGCACAGTGTCAGATTTAGGGGCATGGAGAGAAGTTAAAAAGTAGGAGTTTGTTGTAGGTAAAAGGTGGTGTATTGTATGAAACACGGGGGAAGTGATTTCAGAGAAGTCACTGCTATAGGATGCCTGAAAAAATTTCAAAAGTGTCCCTAACATGCCCTGAGCCTGATGCTTCAGTTGGTTGGAATGTTGTCCCATACATCAAAAGGTTGGGTGTTCAATTTCTGGTCAGGGTTCAACATGATGAATATGGGAGGCAACTGATCATTATTTTTCTCTCTCTTTCTCCCTTCCCTTCCTCTCTCTCTAAAATATACTCCCCTCCTGCATATCCTTGGGTGAAGAAAAAAATAGTGGCTCTAACATTATAGTAGTTATCAGTAGTATTTGTTGAAACCATCATACTTTGATGCATGAACAAATCAAAATATCGATAAGATGACTCTGTGGTAATGGGTGATTTGAGAAACAGTGTGATGTAATACAATGAAATACAAATTGACCTAAAAGTCAAAAGATCTGGATTCATATTTGTTTGATGGAAGTGGTTCATGGTTTTGGATTTCTGAACTTCTTTGAGCCTTAGCATCTATAAAATGGGGGTAATAGTACCTTTCTTATTTTCCTCCCACTGGCTTATTATAAGGATCAATTGAGATTTTTAAAAGTACTGCCTACATATTGGCTGTTTTTTAAATTTTATTATTATTTAGTATTAAGAGCCAGATACTATAAAAGGGCAGCTGAAGAATTTTAAGGCTCTTGTCCTCTTTGAAGTGAACATGAAGTAAAAGCAGCAAGAATATGGGACTTATGTATCTGTAGCTCTCTATATCTAGCTTATCCAGACCATGTTTTGCTGCTAGCCTCTGCTAAGCCCATTTTACTGTTCCCTTTTCCTGGCCTACACCATCCCTTCAGCCCAAGAGCAGTTCAAGGATGAATTGTGATAGGAGTGCCAAGGATCATGCAGCAACAGCAAGACCCCCCTCTTGGAGACTCCTGCGTTTGTGCACTTGGCATTACTTCCTGGACCACTTGCATCCCCGTTGCCTCATTTGTCTCTGTCTGTTTGCTGCTAATGGCTCTAGCAATAGCATCTTTTATTTTCTTGCTCAAGGATGTCTGATGCTTTTGAAAGCTTTTTTCTCTCACACTGCTGAGAAAACACGAAATTTTAAGAGACTAGACTAAAAGACAGAAGAAGGGTTTGATGACCAGCAAAGGACTTCAACTTGCAGTATCCAGCCTTCAAAGACAGGTTCTGTAGTGTGGGTTGTGATGTAACCACTCTGTCTTTGCGTTTTCAGGGAGTCGACGAGTTGAAGATGAAGCCCAGAGCAGAGTGCTGTTCTCCCAAGTTCTGGTTGGTGTTGGCTGTCCTGGCTGTGTCAGGCAGCAGAGCTCGTTCTCAGAAGAGCGCCCCCAGCATTGGCATCGCTGTCATCCTTGTGGGCACTTCAGACGAGGTGGCCATCAAGGATGCCCACGAGAAAGATGACTTCCATCATCTCTCTGTGGTGCCCCGTGTGGAGCTAGTAGCCATGAATGAGACCGATCCAAAGAGCATCATCACCCGTATCTGTGACCTCATGTCGGACCGGAAGATCCAGGGGGTGGTGTTTGCTGACGACACTGACCAGGAAGCCATTGCCCAGATCCTTGACTTCATTTCAGCCCAGACTCTCACCCCCATCCTGGGCATCCACGGGGGATCCTCTATGATCATGGCAGACAAGGTAAAAGCAGGCTGCAGGGAGAAGTGCCTGGTTGGTTTGAATCAAGAACTAAATGATCCATTTGTTTTGATGCAAAACTGAATTATGAAAGATGGAAGGTTGTTAACCAGAATGCACTGAGTGGATAGGCCAAGGATTAGTCTAATCATTGGAGATGAAAGGGAGGGAAAGATGATGTCATATAGTTATGCACAGAATTTTACACAGCTTTGTGTGTCCATTTCTTTGTAAATAGATTCCCTGAAATGACTAAGAGATAGAGAAGCTTGTAGCTCTGTGATCCATTTTCTTCAAATACGCGTATGAGTAGCTCCTGCAAAATTTTGTTTTTTAAATTAATTTTTTAAAAATATTCACCTGACGATGTTTTTTTCCTTTGATTTTTAGAAAGAGTGGAAGAGAGGGGGAAAGACAGAGGGAAATATCAATGTGAGAGAAATGCATCAATTGGTTGCCTCCTGCATGTGCCCTGACCTGGACCTAGGCAGGGGAGGAGCCTGCAACTGAAGTACGTGCCCTTTACCAGAATTAAACCCAGGACCCTTTGGTCTGCAGGCTGACACTATTTATGAGCCAAACCAGCTAGGGTGCTCCTTCAAAAATTTAAAATAAGGTGTGTTCTATTCTTCCTTCATAATACATACTGTTTACCCATATCAGTTTCGAGAATATGCAACAAAAACTCCTTTGAGGTGGGTAATATTTCTCCTTGAGTATACAAATATCACAGTTAAGTACTTTTTGTTAAGGTGTCCATGCTCATCACACATCAGTCTATGTATTTGAGTGTATTTTAATCCATAGAACCAGTAGCAGCTTCATTTCCTCATGCTTACACTTGAAGGCAATGGTCTGTAACCTTGTTTGCACATTGGAATCGTCTAAATAGCCTTAAACACTACCAATGCCTGGTTCTGCCCCCAAAGATTCTGATAATTGGCCTAGGATACTGAGGTTTAGGATTTTTAAAAGCTCCCCTGATGATTCTAGTTTGCAATTAAGGCTGAGGACCACTGCTTTTAGGTCTCAAATACATCCTAGTCACTCCTACATTACTGTTGGATTGTCATATGAATAGATGCTTATTCTCTAACCACAGAAAGTTTTCTTGTGGTTATATTTTGTTTTTACATTTTAAACTTAGTTATTTTTTCCTTGCTTGATTTCTCAGGTACAGCACTTCTCAATATTTACATATTGTCCTTCATAGTTATTTCTATCTCAGATGGATTCATTTCACAAGTACAATACTTTTTTTCACTTTGGGTTTTTAAAATTGTTTCTACCTTTTTGTTGTCATTTTATACTTCTTAAAAATCCCTTTCAAAACTGCCATTAGTTTTTTACTTAAAAGACCTGCTGTAGGGTTAGTGATATTTGCAAATACCTCAGAACCTAGCACAGACAGCACAAGCATGCTCCTTGGCCAGTTGAGACCCATTACAGTGCAGGGCTTACCAGAGGAAAGTAACCTTGCCTGAGCACTATTGCCATCTGTTGGCAGCAGGCAGAGATAATGAAGTGGAGGAAGTTCGGTAATATTTGAGAAAGAGATTGAAAGGGAAAGATGTTAGAATAAAATGCTGGCAAGAGAAGTGCTTGCTAAGAGAATGGAGATAAACTTAAGCAGAATGGAAAGTATACACTGACTGTGGCAAAACCTATTGAGTGTTTTGTTAACATTTTCCTAAGCAGGTTATATTTTAGCAGCAGTATTTCATCTTCTTTTTTTAAATTAGATCTTTATTGTGAAAGTATTACATATGTAATAAACTATTAGCAGTGGCACTTTGAAGGTACAATGTGGCCAACGTGGATGAGCTAAAATTTTGAAACAAATAAGTGCCTATTTATTTTGAGAGCAAGAAGGTAAAAATTATTATTATTTTTTCTTATATGGGCTATTGCACAACCTATGCTATTTTAGGTTCATCCCACCTCACCCCCAGCCCTAGTAAAAGTGGTGATTGGTTGCTTCTCTGTTGTGTCTCTTACAAATGCTTAATAATAATATGATAACATGAACTAAGATGCAGATCATGTGGACACACTGGGCTCTTTTTGTCCACTGATGTATCCTGTGTGCTTTAGAGTACTGGGCACATAGTGGTTTGCATGCATTGTTTTATTTAATACCAGAGGCCTGATGCACGAAGATTTGTGCAAGAATGTGCCTTCCTTCTCTGGCTGCCAGCATCACTTTTGCTCTGGCCCAGAGCTGCCTTTTCGACTTCCCATGCTGTCCAGAGGCCTGGAGCGGTTGGGGCATTGTGGAACACCTGCATCCCGCCATGCCCCTGGTGGCTCAGCACCTGTGTATGCAAATTAACCTGCCCTCTTTGTTGGGTTAATTTTCATACTCACTCCTGATTGACTGGCGGGTGTCGTGAAGGTATTTTGCATCTTACTCTTTTATTAGTGTAGAGTCGAACTCAATCAGAGAAGGGGCCAAAATCTAAAATCCAGCCTAAATCGCGGGCCGAATGGTTTACTGAACAGTCATAAACTGTCATTGTGATGGAAACGCAGCGGAGTGCAGTGATGACAGCGTGGTGCGGGCCACATTGCAAGGCCTGGCGGGACGGATTTGGCCCGCTGGCCTTGTGTTTGACACATGTGGTGTAGACTCTTATAACCCAGTGAGATAAATGGTATTATTTATCTCCATTTGACATGTGGGGGAACTGAGGCTCAGAAAGGTTACTTAACATATTCAGAATGACTTAGCCAGTAACTAGCAGCCAGGACTATAACATTGGTTACTGGCTCCATGTGTTCCATCTCCTTTCAAGAAAATGGAGAGGCTGGTTAGCATCTCACATAACTTCATATTCTTTACTTTCTCCTCTGTGGTAACATTATCTGCCTATATGCAATTCACCCCTTGATTCATAATGGCAATAGTGGAATCTACTAGAGGAGAGAATGAGTGAGAATGTGACTAGCACTTAGGGGTAGCACACTTCCATTGTGGGCACATTGGTTACCCCTTCTAGGGGGAAGGGAGATTGAGGCCAGTGAGGTGGATTCTCCTAGGTCACTATAGTGAGATCCTCCTATCTCTTTCCCCTGAGCCCTCCCACCATTGCAAGCAACCCAAGTAGCCTGCTTTATCTTTTTTCTCCATTATAAAAGGGAGATAGGCAATGGTTTTTAGGCAGTTTCCTAAAAGAGCCTAATTAATGTCTGATTTTTTACCTAAAAAGAAGAGTTTCTGAAAAATAGGTAGGAAGAGGAAAATGAAGAAGGGAGAAGGTCCTGATAGCATGGAAGCCAGAAAGCTGATGGATTAGTCACAAGGGGTCAGATGCTTGATGGCATAGCTGGTAGCTACAGAGAAGGGCACAGCAGGAACCCTCGGCCCGAGAAAGCAGTGGGTCCATGATTCCAGGGAGTTATGCAGAGGAACATTCTCAGGCTTAAATGATTTGCATGAAGGTAATAAAAAGAATCTTCCAAATTTCAGAGAAATAAGATTTTGGGTCAAGTTTCAAAAATGAAACACCTCAAATTCTAAGGTTAGTTTTTAAAAATAGAAGTTTATTTTTAAGTACCGTGACCACATTCCACAAACATAGAATGAGGACACAGAGTTCCACGATTATGAATCAACTATGATGCAACAGGACAAAACATTTGAAAGTGGAACTGTTGCAGAAATTCTGAGAAACACAATTCACTTTAAGGTATAGTTGCCATCCAAAAGATGAGAAATTAGACTTCCACTTTGCTTCCCCCTTCTAGAAGATAGGTAATTGCCTCTCTACTTTCTGTTGTTGTTAATCCTTACCAGCAGATATTTTTCATTGCTTTTCAGAGAGAGTGAAAAAAGAGGGAGGGGGAAAAGAGACAGAAAAGAGAGAGAGAAACATGTGTGAGAGAGACATTAATTGGTTTCCTCACACATGCACTCTGATAGGGCTGGGCTCTCACCTGCAACCAAGGTGTGTGCCCTTGAATAGCAGTGGTACCTGTGACCCTTCATTGTGTGGGTCGGAACTCTAACTGCTGAGTCACACTGGCTAAGGCTTGCTTCTCCATTTTAACTTAGCTTTTGTTTGTTTATCTGAGATAGAATGCACTTATTAAGTTTCCTTGTGGAAGATTTCATTACGGGGATGAAGTCCTTGATTCAAGGGATTGGTGATGGAAGAAAGACAGCATGATTATAAAGCTTTTTGACAAAAATAGTGAGACACAGGTTCAGTAACTGGTCAAATGGCAAGTGCTCACTTTTTTTTGTATATGTTGATGAATCAGTACAAACATTAATTAGTGCTCTGCTTTCCCAGTGAGAAAGTGCACTTTCTACCTTGGCCAAAAGAAGCATGGGAACCAGAGAGTAGAGTTGTTCAAAGAACAGAATTTGGAATCAGTGGGTTTCAATCATACTTCCTAGATGTGGGGATCTGGACTATTTACCAATCACTGTAAATGGTTTCCTTGCCTGTATAATGGGGATAATAACATTTATCATAGGGTTTGTGAAGATTAAATTAGATAATACATAGAAAATGCATAGTAAATGCTTCACTAAGTATCCAGCATAACATTCAGCAAGCTAAGCTGATGGTTGTATGGAGCAGTTTGAAGAAAGGAATTGAAAATAATGGGAATTAAACAGAATCACAGCCAACTGTAGAGACATTTCTGAACTGGAGGTCAACTACCTATCTCCTATGGGTGGGAGCTGTGGCCTGCCCCGCCAGGGCAGCTGAGGCTCATCAGTGATACAGCCACACGGGCATGTTTGGTTAGAAACAAGCTCTAATAAAGAATGAACTGCTGGTGCTTGTAATAGAAAGACAGCTTACAATAGTAACAGAGACGATTTAAAATGAATGAGGTGATTTTTGGCAGTTCCTCACCTGAATATAAGGGGTCTGTTTAATTTTTCTTGTTATAATTGTTTTCATTCTCCCTGACTTAGATGGACTTAGGATGCCCATCTGAATCCAAATAACAAACTACAGCTGGATGTATTTCCATTTCTTTCCAGG